CACGTCGGTCGTCGTCGTCCTCCTCCTCCTCGCAATCCTTCACCCCCTCCTTTCCTCCTCCTCCTACTCCTCCTCGTCCTCCTCCTTCTGTTTCTCCTCTTTCTCCTCCTCCTCGTCGTGCGTGTACTGTTTCGCAAGATGACCACAAGTGCTCTTCGATTGTCCTAGCCAAGGAAGAAGAACACACATCCGAGCGATGCCAAGCTCTATAGAAGACGGGCCACGCAGCAAACACATACAATCTGGGTGGTCCGCGCGGACCGTCGACACTCTACGTGTATGCAATTTCTGTCTTCTTCGAATGTACCAGGAAACGGCATGAGCAACGATTCGAAGGTCCGCGCGTACATTTTGACACAGCGCTGGGCCCCGTCTGGCGGCGCTACTGGAGCGCGACGAACGCCAGGAGCAGGGGAAGCCGGTGAAACGCTCAAGAAATCTGCGGCGACCTCCGAAGTGTACTTGGAAAGGCCGGCGAAAACCCCTCGGGAACCGAAACCAAACCCTCGGGAAGCCACACGTGGCCAACAATCTTCCGCCGTGCATATTCTCTCGCGACACGAGGAAGGCGGGGGAGGAGGAAGGGGACGAGGAGGAGGAGGAGGAGGAGGAGGAGGAGGAGGCGGAGGGGGAAGAGGAAGAGGGGGAGGAGGAGAGGGAGGAGGAGGAGGGGGAGGAGGAGGGAAGGGCGGAGAAAAAAAAGGAGGAGGAAGGAGAGAAGCGGGAGGAGGGTACGTATGAAGAGGATGAGGAGAACAGGGATGAGGATATTGGATACGTATGAGGAGGAGAAAAGGAAAAACGGACGCCCCGACACTGGATGCCAGTGGGCCCCGCGCCTCGTCCGCGTCCAGCGCCCCGCGCCTCACCTCCTGCAGCTCGGCGCGCTGGAGCCTTGTGCCCGCGGCACCTCCTCCCGTTTGCTCCTCTTTCCTCCCTCCTCCTCCTCCTGTTCCTCCTCCTGTGTCCTCCTCTTCCGTAACCATGTTGGCTCAGCAGCGGGGTCGCTTTTATGAACGCCCGCGCACCTCAGCCCCCAGCCCCTCTAAGGTGGGCTTTACGAAAGGGCACGCAGCCGCGATCGCGCTCGCCCGCGTGGCACTGGCGAACTACGCGGCAGCGGGCAGATGCGCGCACAAGTTTGACGGCACTGAGTTCACCACGGTAGCTCAGCTCCAACTATGGGCAAAATCGGGACGGACCGCGGCTCGGATCTTTGCACCAATTGCGGGCAGCATGGTGCAATTGAACGGAATTCGCTGATCCCTACGTGATCGGCAGCGCAAGTGCGGCACGCAGCTCGTCCTTCACAAGCCCAAACCCAAGAAAAGCAAAGGCAAAAGTCAAGGCTCGGGCACCGAGCTGGCGCTGCGCGTGACGGGTCGGTGCCTCTCCGCCAGCGACATCCGGCTCAAGGCAGCCTCAGGGCGGCGCTGCAGAAGGAGGCGCACGAGGCCAAGTCGGTCTCGGCGTCCTCTGTGGCAGCGGGCACTTCGTGTGGCGAGGTGCATCGGCGCGCCCAGTTGTCCTGGGAGGAGGCCAACCGCGGCCGTGATCAGGCGGCTGCAGCCGCGCGTCGGGCCGAGGACAAGTTGGCTGGCGCTGAGAGGGCGCGAAACTGAAGCGGCGGGGCAGCTCGCGGAGGCGGAGATCGCCATCCGCATCGCTGCGCGCGCGTTGGAGGCGGGGGCGGGGCTCACCACGACGACCTCGGGCCCTGCCGCGGCGGGCGGTCTGGCGGCGGCCCCCGAGGCGCCCGGCGCGATCGACGCGAGATGGGGCGCGGGCTTCTTCGAATACCTGCGCAACGAGGAGTTCGAGCGCGAGGGGCCTGAGAAGGCGAGGCTCTTGCGGCTGGTACAAGAGCTCATCCAGGCCAAACCGCGGTGAACGAGGTGAGCGAGTCCTGGCGTGGAAGACCGACATGGAACTGTCGCAGGGTCGGCGCGTCGCCGCATGGCCAAGCAGCGCAAGGGCCCCGGCGGGGCAGCGCGCAGAGGCGACGGCGGCGCCGAGAAGGCCCCAGCGGGCGAACATCAGCCCCGAAGCCTCCCGCCGAGGCTGGCGGCGGCGAAGCGCAGCAGAGGGTCGAAGAGGAGACCGAGAGGATTCGCGAGGCGGCGGAGGCGGCGGCCAAGGCAGCCGCGGCCGCGGCGGCAGCGGCGAAAGCGGCTGGGAGCTGCGCTACAGCTGCGACCGAGTCGCCGACCAAGGATGGCAAATGACAGGGGTTGGCACCGACATGCCCCGCCCGTGCCAGGGGTGCTGCCAGCGCCCATGGACCGACATCCTCTTCGCCCCCACCTCCTTCCACCTCCTCTTCGCCAAGTGCTTCGACTTCGGCGGCGGCGGGCAGCTCTGGCATTGCGCCGTCGTCCTCGGGGCCTTCGGCGTCTACGCTAGCTGGTTTGGATCCGTTGGCTGAGGCCGGCGGCGAGGAAGCTGGCACCTATTCCTATCTGGCGCAGATGGCCACTCGCTATGTGAATCTCATGTCATGCGCCGTCTCAGTCGTCGAAATCGCCCAAGAAGGCCAGCAGTTACTGCGAGCGGGAGAGGCGGCCAGCCTGCGCGTGACAGATTACGCATTTGTGCCAAGGCGCGACACGGCAGAGGCAGCCCAACAGACGCGGCGGCGGCTCGAGAGACGCAGGCTGCCCGCTGGCTGGCTTGCAGAGACTGATGGATGGGCACCCCCAGCGGGAGAACTTGAGCGGAAACGTTTGCAAATGCATCTTGATTTCTACCATCGCGATTGAACGTGGGAATTGAAAGAGGCCCTGGCGGCCCTCCCAAAGTATGCACTCTCATTCCAGGCCGACTTGATCAACGGACTGCGGCGCTCGCGCGGCCGCGCATGCTACGCAGCTCTACAGCGCGATCTGCAATCTTCTAGCAACTACTGCGGCGGGGGAGGCGGCCAACCTGGATGTGACGAACTACGTTTTTTATGCCGAGGCACGACGCGGCAGAGGCTGCCCAACAGACGCGGCGGCGAGTCGAGAGACGCAGGCTGCCCGCGGACAGGTTGGCCGAGACTGACCGACACTCCCCGACCCCGCAGGTCGGATTGGCCAGTGGGCCCAATGCCCAGACACGCGTTGAACTGATGGCAACTGGTCGAGTCTGACTCAGACACCATGGCGCGCCTCGGTGGAGGACTCATGCACGGAGGCCAGGGCCGCGGCGGATCTCCTCGGGCACTCGGCGGCAAGATCTGCCCATTTGCGGCCGCCCGGGGCGGCGCCAGAAAACGCGGCGCGATACTTGAGACTTGGAGCAAATGCCATTATGGCCACATCACCTCTCTACTCAGCCACGACAGGAGACGCGCCAACCAGCGATCTGGGCGGCCTTCGCCACTGGGCCCCACACGGACACAAGTGGCCGGCGGCGGGCGCGCACGAGGTATCGAAGAGGAGGCGAACGAGGCGAGGGGTGGACCGCGGCATAGAAGTCTGCGGGTTTTCCAACAGGCAGGGCGCGCCAAGATACCTACAAAACGATGTGATCCGGCAGTTAAAACTGAAGGCATCGCGGCCGCGCCGGAGCCGCGCCCGCTGAGCGTCGGCGAGGCTAGAGAGGCCCATGGGGGACTCAGAAGATCGAACTGGACAGCAACTCGCCCGCGACCTCGTCGTGCAAGATGTGCCGAGAAACGCTCCTGCAATGATGCCAGCCTTCAGCCAGCCAAGAATCAGCAGCTCGAAGCGACGACCGAGATGATCCTCGTCGGCAACGTCGGCGAGGTCGAGCGCGACGCAGCCATGTCCAAACGCCCTGAGCTCGGCCGACGCCCGGCCGCTGCTCGCGAAGAGCTCCAGTCAGCAGCTGGGCAGTCAGCCTGGCAGTCAGCAGCCCGCGCAGGTGCCGCTCCACACGCGCCGCGCGTGCGCCGCTTGGGCGCGGGCGTGGCCGCCCGCCCAGCGGGCGCCGCGAGCGCCGCGACCAGCCCTGGCGGAGGGCTGACGCGGCCCCGCCTCGAACCCGCGCTCGAAGATTCTTGCGAAAGACTGCTCCGCCAGCGCCCCGAAGTGGTAGACCCAGTCGGGGGCACTCTCCAGCGCCGCCTGGAGGTGGGCCCCCCTGGCGCATCTCTTCATGCTCGAAGACACCGCCCGCCGCCCATGGCGCCCGGTGCTCCGACAGAGCGCCGGCTCGCCAGGACGTCGTGCGACGCGGCCCCGTGCTTCAGGTAATGCGCCGTCGGGCGGAGCGGCCCCCGACCGAGAAGCCGAACTCCGCTCGGCACCGCGCTGCCGCGAAGTCCCAGAGCGGCCGCGCAGCGCTCGTCGCCATCTTCAGTTCAGCGTGGCCAAGATCGGCCACGCGAGCGGGCCCAGGTCCAAGTGCGCCGACTCGCCCTGGAGAAGAAATGGATGAGATCGCTGAGACGACGTTTTTTTCTAATGGAACCATGTTGTCGACAGCAACACGGCAACGCTGCGCACCTGGCGCGCACAAGCGCAAGCAAAAACAAACAGCCGAGCAAACAAAGAGGCATCGCATCACTGGCCAAGTGGCCACCATCGCTTGGATGCGGCAGAGCTGCAGTGCGAGAGCAACTGCAACCACGAACGCAAGCAATATTGATATGATGCATGCGCTCCAAAGCGAACCACGTCAACCATAATATCACCATACCGCCCCATTGAACCATATCCTTTTGCACCGCACCCCTTGCCCGCCGCTCGAAGTAGCGGGGCCCGGGCGGCCATCGGGATCCGCCGCCGCCAGACCACCGCCGATGAACTTCCAGACGGCCGTCCAATCCCAGTAGGGGTCGGGCCATCTCGTGGCTCGACCCGATCGCTTAGCCGGCGTCGCTGTCCTTCCCATATCACTTCTCCGTGATCATATGGGTATATACACATACGCGTACATACATACATACGTACATACGTGCATACATACGTACATACATAAACAAATCTACAACTATAGATGTATGTGTATATCGATGTACCTATATCAGAGGTTGGGGTGCGTAAGCGAGAGCGGCCCCGATCGGGAAATCGATTTCGGCTTCGGTTCGCGTCGCGCGCGCGGGCGAGGCGAAGCGGCGCGAGTTCCTGCGCTGGCAGGAGCCCAAAAGGCCGGCCCCCCCCCCCCCCCCTGGGCGGGCGCGCGTCCCGTGGTTGTCCCGCGGATGTCCCGCGGATGTCCCGCGGTTGTCCCGTGGTTGTTCCGGGGTTGTCCCGATGGTTGTCCCGCGGTTGTCCCGTGGTTGTTCCGATGGTTGTCCCGATGGTTGAATGGTTGTCCCGGTGGTTGTCCCTATGGCTGTCCCGATGGTTGTCCCGATGGCTGTCCCGATGGTTGTCCCGATGGTTGTCCCGATAATTTTCCCGATGGTTGTCCCGATGGTTGTCCCGATGGCTGTCCCGGCGGTTGCCCCGACGGTTGGATGGTTGTCCCGGTGGTTGCCCCGATGGTGGTCCCGACGGTTGCCCCGATGGTTGACCCGATGGTTGCCCACATGGTTGTCTCGATGATTGTTCCGATGGTTGTCCCGATGGTTGTCCCGGTGGTTGCCCCGATGGCTGTCGTGATGGTCGTCCCGATGGTTGTCCCGATGGTAGCCCCGATGGTTGTCCCGATGGTTGTCCCGATGGTTGTTCCGATGGTTGTCCAGATAGTTGTCCCGGTGGTTGATCCGATGGTTGCCCCGATGCTTGTCCCGATGGTGGCCCCCATGGTTGTCCCGACGGCTGTCCCGATGGCCGCCCCCATGCTTTCACCGATTGCTGCCCCGATGGCTGTCCCGACGGTTGCCCCGACGTCTGCCCCGATGGTTGCCCTGGCGGTTGACACGATAGAGAAGTCAATAAATGTGCGGATATATATATATATATACACACATATATGTATATATGTATATATATATGTATATGTATCGATAGATCGGTAGATAGATAGATCGATACATCGAACGATAGAGAGAGAGAGGGAGAAAAAAAAAAAAGATCCCGCCCGCCACCGCCACCGCCGCCGCCACCGCCTCGCCATCAGCAACACCGCCGACAGCATCGCTACCAGTCGCCGGCAGAGACTGGCGCCAATGTCGGCGTCGCTGCCGCCTCGCCAGCACGATCGCCATCGGTGCCATTATCGTTGCCGTCGTCGCTACTGGCGACGCCGCCGCGCTACCAGCGCGGCTGTTTGGGTGAATCCATGGGGGCAGGCGTGAGGAGGAGGCAGGGCGGGAGCACAAGCTGGGCGCTCTTGCGCCACAGCTGGCGTCGTACAGTAAGAGCTCGACCACAAGAAACCTTCCACAAGAAACCCAACCCTGAGACCCCAGGACGTCTATTGATCTTTGGTGTGGGACCGTCACGCTTTCCATAGCAAAGCCATCGGAACCTAAGAAACCCAGGGCACCCTGGAGGCAAGCAAGGCGTTTCGATTGGCGGTCCCCTCCCAGGTGCCAGGGTCGCGGGCACACAGGGGCATGGGCTTCCAATGTATCCCTCCAACCCGTCCCTTCCAGTCGGGCCTGGATCCGTTGTCCATCCACTGGCTACGCAGAGGACCCTGATCCCCAGGTGCCCAAACGGCAGCTGCATGACGTCTGACCTGTCGTCTGCTGTGCGAGGGGGAATTCTTGTACAACGGTGGCTTAGAAGGAACACAATCGACATATTTCGGAGACCCGCGCGGAAATATTTGATCAGCGCTGGCCCCTCTGTGGCGCGCGGAGCGCGCCAGAGGGCGGCGCCGGAAGCGCCGCCAGCGCCGATACCAGAAATCGGCCTGGACCTCCGAAGGTTCAGGTTGATCGTTTCATCTGGTCGGAGAGAAGGCAGGAAAGTCACAGCGAGCTCACCACCAGCACGGCTCCGTCCCTGTCAACGGGGCGCGGCTCACCTGCGCACAGCCTCACCCGCGACCGAGTGGCTGGGGCCGAGCGAGATCCGGACACGTCCAGCGTGAAGTGGGTGCAGCCAGAGGTGGCCCTGCTGAAGGAGGGACGAAATAAGGGGACTGGCCCCCGCCTCCCTCGCGTCGTGAACAAACATCACGGCGGACACTTTCGGCCTCCTGGGAAGCCTAGCCAGGCCCAGCGCAGGGCCGTCGAACAACGGCCCAGGATGAAGAGCCGGTCCAAAGGAAAAGGTCCAGAGCTCCAGGGTGTCCACGTGTATGGGTGCTCAGGGGGGAAGCATCGACCTGGAATCGGCGATGCATCGCTAGATCTGCGCCACCCTCGACGGAGAAGCATCACGTTCCGAGGGCGGGATTGGGCACACAGGCTCCGAGTGGCGAAGAAGGAGCCATTAGGGGTCGATGCTCCCCCCAGGGAGCAGCCCCCCCCCTAGTCAGCGCCCCTAACCTGCACATGCTCGAGGCATCCTCCAGAGACTTCACCCCGTCGTACTCTACCAGTGTCTCTGAGGGGGTGCACGCGCCGAACCTGTTCGTCAACACCGCCGCCCTGTCCATGCGGAGGGCCGCTGGCTTCACAGCCGTCAACGAGCCTGGCGATGGCGTGGGGTCCATGTAGCCTTCACCCCTGCAGAGCTGTACGGTCTTGTCCTCCGGCACGTAGACGAAGTAGTCGCAGCCATCCTTCTCGCTGCACAGCTCCTGGGCCCCCCTCCGCGAGACCACGTTCTTCTGGATGTCGGTGGCGAGCCCGGGGGGGAAGTGAGAAGGGGCGGGCCTTCTCGAAAGGCTCGCAAGCCCCCCTGCCTCCTGACAAGTTTTCGAACTGCTCAGAAGCCAGTGGGTTTCTGAGAAGCCCCGCCGCCTTCTGAGAAGGATTTCTCCTTCTCACTCCCCCTCATCGCTCGCCGCCGAGGATGGGCGCCACCATGGCCCCCGGCCTGGAGCAATTCCCGGCCAGATCTCGCAGCCACAGGTAAGAGGACGAGACGCCCTCCTCGAGCAATTGTTTATTCGCGACCATAACAGGCGTTATGTGGGGGAGGCGGGGGGGGACGGGGGGGAGGCATATGCCTACCCCCCGTCCCCCAGACTGTGGTGCCAGACGCACTCCAACAGTACCAGGGTCGCTCTGAGGGAAGGAGCGTTACGTTATGGGGGAGGGGGGGGGGCATAACGCGCGTTATGGTCCAGAGTGTAAAAAACACTCTCCTCGTAGGCCGTCAAGGCCGTGGAGGAGTGGTCGGCCGCAGCCCCCTCCTCTGGAGCAGTGCAATTTGGAGGGGGGTCACCACCCGAGGGGACCGCCGCCCCCCCAGGGAGGACCCCTCAGATAGAAGGCAACTACTGGGAGGTCTTCGTCGGAATGATTGAAGAGAGTTGAACCCAATTGGGGGGCTACTGCGCCAGACTATGCCCCGGACTCAACGGGATTAGGTCGCGGATTGGGCGGGATGACGCGAAATTGCACGGGGATCAGCCAGAATGAGCCGGATTTCGGACCAAAGCAAAGTCGGCATGTGACCTCTTAGGCGCCGCATCCGAACCTCAGGACCTCTCACCCCCGCCAGAGCGCCCCACGACGCCACCAAGTCGCCCCTCAAAAAGCCTCCTCGATCCTCAATCCTCGAGAATCGACCCCCAAACCTCCTCCTCGATTCTCTCTCCTCAATCCTCCATCCTCGAATCGACGAAACCTCCTGGATTCTCCTTCCTCGAACCTCGATCCTCGCAGGGGATGCTGACGCCCCCCTCCCCCCAGTGCGGGGTGCGCCGAAGAGGAGGGCCAGAAAGAGAGGGGGCACGGTCATAGCGCATCATGGCCCGAGGTATGCGCGCGGACAAGGAGTGGACAGGGGGCGTGTGGACGGAAGTCGAGGGGGCCATGAGATCGGGGGTCTCTCTCTCTCTCTCTCATTATTTCTGTCATCATTTCTCCCTCTCTATGTATAAATACATGTATATATATATATATATGTATCTCTCTCTCTTTCTCTCTCTCTTTCTCTCCTCTCTCGCTCTCTCCATTTCCATATATGAAAAAGGTCTATGTGTAGGTATATTTAAGAATAGATATACAAGCACACACCTATCCATATATGTTTATGTGTATATAAATATGGATATGTATATATATATATATATATATCCGAGGCATGTGCGCGAACGAGGGGTGAACAGGAAACGCGTGGACGGAATAACAAGGGGCCAACATATAACTAGAGAAAGAGAGAGAGAGAGAGAGAGATCATGGCTCTGGTCATGATCGGTATCCTCCCCCGCAGTCGCCACTCCCTAACGTCCGACGATGCGAGATCTGTAAACCCGCGCCCAACAGAGCTCCCGACCCCCTTCTCTGGGGGGGTCTTCTCGCCCCGCATCTCCGTACTTGATGGCACCGACGCCCGACAAAAACGGCCCAAGAGGCCGAAACCGAGGGAAAACGCCAGGAAGGAACACATTACATGTTTACAATTACAGCCGAAAATCTGACCAACAACATTATCATCTAAGAAATCTGGACCAATTCCCCCGGAGTTTCTTCGGAGTTTCTCAAATGCAAACCTGGGCCAACTTCTGTTGTAGCTGTCGGGGGCTCCCGGAAGCCCCTGCTGGTCCTAGGCAACAGGCCCGAATCAGCCAGGAGGGCGGCCGAACGGCCCCGCGAGAACCCGAAAAGGCCCCAGACACCCACCACAATCCCGAGGACGACCCAAAGAAAAGTTCCAAGTGGCCTTCGAAACGCAGCGAACAATACAATGGATGTCCAAGGTGTTGTGTATGATTGTGGGAGAGCTCCGTTCTTCGGCCTTCTAGGCGTCCGAGTCTGCCCAGAAGGGCAGAACATCGCCACAAGGCTACCCAACATGGAGCCCAAAGACGGCCCAACAGGGTCCAAAGATGGCCCGAAGAAGAGCCCTATGACGGCCCAAGATGGCCCCAAGACGCCACCCGAAGCATTCTAAATGGTGACCCGCGGTTGGAAGCAGGGTGGCCCGTGGAAGCTCCCAAAGGCCCCCAAAGGAACTCAGGAAACCTCCAGAAGGCCGCCCTTAAAAACATGATCGACCCACGAACACGGAAAGGGATTTAGAACTGCGAGGAATGGAAACGTTTCCAAGCACCTCAATCGGGCGATGGGCAGTGGCAATGCTAAAGATATTAATGGTGATGACGCTGTGCCAGAGGCTGTGTTGTACTGCTCGGCGCTGTGCCGCGCCGCACAGGGGCGTGCTACGGGACGCGCCACTGAACGTGCCAATGGACGTGCCAGGGGACGTGCCAACGTGCCGCGCGATGCGCCAGGGGGACGCGCCACGGGACGCGCCACGGAACGTGCCAGGGGGACGCGCCACAGAACGTGCCAGCGGACGTGCCAAGGGAGGTACCAGGTTACGCGCCGCGCGACGTGCCCAGGAGAGGCGCCAGGGACCGTGCCAAGTATCAATGGTGATGCTACTGTGCCAAGAGCTGCGTTATGCTTCTCTGCGCTGTGCCGCGCCGCGCAATGACATGCCCAGGGACGCGACACGGAACGTGCCAATGGACGTGCCAGGGGACTCGCCGCGCGAAGTGCCAGGGGGATGCGCCACGGGACGCGCCACGGAACGTGCCAAGAGGACGCGACACGGAAGCGGAAGGTGGGTGCCAAGGGACGTGCCAGGGAACGCTGCGTCCGCGCTCCCAAGACACCGATCCATCGAAAATCACGCGGCGTCCGCGCTCCCAGGGCCGCGATCCCTCGTACATTACGCGGGAGTCACGCTCTCAAGGCCACTGTCCCTTGACACTTACACGGGATTCGCACCCCCATGGCAACGACCTTTTAGGAAATTGCGCAGGAATCACGATCCAGGGCCACGGCCCCTCGTGAACCACACTGGGTTCATCCATTGTCAATTGCGTTGGGTTCGCGCTCTCAGGGCCACGATCGTATGTAAATTACGCTGCGTCCGCTCCACCACGGCCAAGATCCCTCGTCAAATACGCTGTCCCCGCGCAGGTTCCCTAATCAACTACACCGTGTCTGCCCCTGCAGGGCCAGGATCCATAGTAAACTACGATGCGTCCACGCTCCCAAGGCCACGATCTGTTGTAAATATCGCTGCGCCCGCGCTGGCAAGGCAGCGCCCCCTCGTGAACTACGCAGTGTCCGGGCCCCCAGGGGCAGGATCCATCGTACATCACGCAGTCTCCGCGCTCCCAAGGCCACGATCCATCGTAGAGTATGCTGCGCCCGCGCTCCCAAGGCCACGATCCATCGTAAATTTCGCTGCGTCCGCTCTCCCTGGGCCACGATCCCTTGTAAACTATGCTGCATCCGCGCTCCCGTGGCCGCGCTCCCTAGTGAATTACGCAGTGTCCGCGCTCCCAGGGCCTCGATCCTTTGTAAATTACGCTGGGATCGCGCCCCCAGTGCCAGCATCCTAGTCAATTGCGTTGCGTCTGCGGTCACAAACCCAAGATTCTTTGTAAATTTCGCGGCGTCCGCGCTCCCAGGGCCGCGATCCTTGGAAAATAACGGTCCGACCGCACCCCAGAACTCCTGGGGCGCCCAAGCCTTTGAAGCGCTGCAAAACAAGCGTTTCGCCCAAGACGTCCTCAGATACTCGGCACGCAGGGTGCGCCATCCTCGAGCGGGCACACAACAAGCCAACCTTCCATCTGCAAAACAAGCGCGGGGCTCGAGACATCCTCGAATTTCCTGCGCGTGACGCGCCATCCTCGAGCGGGCACTCAAAAAGTGAACTGTTCCATCCTTGTTTTGTGTAAAACTTTGAGGTCACCGTAGCTCATGTAGCATCGTTGGTTCTGAAAGCGCGCCGTACTCATTTTTTAACAAAGGAAGTCGGGAGTCTGAGGACTCCGTTATTCAGAAAAGGATCCTAGATAAAAGGGGGCACATGCTCCTCGAACGGGCACGCACGAAACGCATTTGTTGAACAATCGGGGTCGACCCACAAACCCGGAAATCGAGGGGGGGGAGGGGGGGACGGGTTGGGAACCTCCAGTGACCCCCCCTGGTTTTCTTCCAGCAGCGGTAGAACACGTCTTTCTGATATAGACACGTAAGGCATGGCAACGCTTTCATGACACCTGATTGGGCGACGGGCAATTGCAATGTTGAGTGTACCGATCTTGACGTACCGTACCGAAGGCTGTGCTGTGCTGCGTCGTGCTGAATTGCTATGTGCCATGCCGCGGTTGCGCTCTATAGCGTTGTGGATCGAGTCCCCCTTCGCATCCGAGTCCTGAACCGAACTGATATGGATATTAGGCTCGAGCTGTCTGGGCACACAGTAGCTGCCACAGAGCTAATTGACAGGGGAACACGCCAGGGGGACGCGCCGCGGAACGTCCCAAGGGACGCGTCAGGGGTCGTGCCAGGGGACGTGCCATGGGGACACACCGCGGGACGCGTCAAAGGGACGCGCTATGGAACGTGCCAATGGACGTGCCACGGGACGCGCCAGGGGGACGCGCCGCGCGACGTGCCACGGGGACTCACTATGGGGCGCGCCACGGAAAGTGCCAAGTTGCAAGGCTGAGCGTATCGGCCTTGATGTACCGTACCCAAACCTGGTGCTACGCCGAGCTGAATTGCTATGCGCCAT